TACTGCGGATCACTTACAAGAAGAAATACTATACTTCGTAACTATTTTAAAAAGTAACCAAATACCACATAAAATAATTAAAAATTCCCTGACCAAAGCTGGCATTAACCTTACCTAATTATAGATTTTTTGAGTTAGATAATGATTTTTTATACCTAAAGCTACGGACGGTTTAAGAAGGATGACTAATTCAGAGAATCTATTGTAAAAATGTACAGAAAATTCTTGTTTATTCATTCTCTTTCCTCCTAAAAAATTTTGGCACTTTAATCTTAAATACTATATTATGTACATATTTTTAAATTTAAATTTCTTTAGTGGCCAATTTTACTGCTTTTATTAACAAATCGGGCTTTTTTTTCATTTTTCATAGTAGCTTGATCGCCCGCTAGCTTGAAGAATTACGACTTTTTTAACAAATTACTGTTTTTTCCTTTTTCTCATGCTTTAATGGCCTAGTTTTTATAGTTTTAGCTGAATTTGCCATTTTCACTTCGAAAGAATTTTTTCCATCCTTCTACAAGCCAAGCGCCATTTTTTTGAGCTCTTCACACGGTTCACGAGGTTTCCGGCCCCCTCCGATAATAGGAGACGAGTTACAGATAACGAAAATCACTTCGCATTGGCTAAACGCCCACAACGCTTCGCTCCCCCCTACCTACGTCAATCCAAAAATAAGACGCTTGAATTTTTAGCAGCCATTTTTCTGCATGTTTTCCAGAGGGACAGCTTTACATCGCCAAAGGTCAGTTTTTTTGTTTCTTTTGTTACAACTTTTTCTTGGTCTTAGCAAGACCCACTGAGTTGTTCTTTTCTCAATTTTTTATTTTATATTGATTATTAACTACAGGTTTTCTTACAGTTTTCATAAAATCTACATTTTTAAAAATTAAATTGTTAATCTTTAAGCTTGCAGGCCCAGCCCGAATGTATTTGTATTTTTAGGACTAATAGCTCATCGCTATTTATTTTCGTTTTGATTTTAATTTTAGACTAGATTTAGAAAGTTTGATTTTGCTTAACATATTTTAACACCTTAATGTGTCTTTCTGAGCGGACGCGTCGGGAAATTGGAACAGAGAATTGAGACTATTAAAATTTCCAAGACACTTTGTCAAAAAAATTTTTTAACGAAAAAGTTTCAATTGTCTGTTTCGGCGAAACGTGTAATGGGGTTAGCTTGATTCGACGTTCAAATAAATGAAATTTCCCTTGAAAAGCCTGTTTGGATATCGAATTGGGCTAATTTACCATTTTCCGCTTACTTTTTAACTTTTTCTGTTATTTAATTTTATTGTATTTATGTTTTACATGTCTAATGATTTGCTTTTCATGTGTATTAATTTTTGAAAACGTCTTTAACCTTTTGGAGCAGCAGCTCTTGGTAACTTTTAGGTGAGCTTTCTACAATTTTTATTTTTTAGTTATTTTGCAGCATATTGCGCAAGATGTTTTCTTGACCAAAATTGTTATTACTGCTTTGCTTGATAAAATATATAAGTATGTATGTACATATAAATGTATAAATAAATTATGAAAAGAAACTTCTAATTTTAATTCGGCAGAAGTTCTTTTTATTCCTTATTTTAATTTGGCTACTTCCCCTTCCGGTCCTAAACCTGTGAATTTTTTATAATATATGAATCTAAAATGCTTCATCTCAAAATTAATCCGCATCATGCTATCTTATGTATCACGTAGCAATGCGTATATCTCTTGTCCAATCACAGATAAAGATTTCAATAAACAACCACCTGTGTATCTCTACGGCTGAATGCGCACTTTACTTTCTCACTTTCCCTTGCTCTGCTAACACGTGCTGCTCATCTCGGTTTCGTCTATCGTCTAAAGATGAAAATTAGATAGAATGTTATGAAGCCTGGGTGATGCGGCCATGATGATGTGCAAAGAAGAATCTGAGTATCATGAATTAGTTGTTCATTAATAAATTATGTCTTGGCTTCAACCATATCTGTATATAAATGTCATCTTTATATCCATATAGTAAAATCTTCCCAAAAATGTTGCAACTGTCTCTCAATCCTCAAGAATTTGAAGATTATATTACATATATTTGTTATAAATTTTGCTTTGAAAAAATGATATATATATATATAAACAAAAGTTGTAAGCCTTCAGATTAAGATGATATATATTATGTACCCTATGTCGCGAAATTAATTAATCAAGAGATTTTAATTTAATTACCATATCTTGATTATATATAAATAACGTTTAACGCGTGCGATGTCGAATATCTGCAATTAAAATCAATATTTCGCTTAAAACTGTTTTTCGCCCCATATATGCAGCTATCTGTTTTCGTTTAAAAAGTCAGAGTACGCTAACTTGGCATTGAGCACAGGATAAATATTAAAAATTATTCATGATTGGTTATAGAGATGTTACCACATTTAGCTCTTTCACATAGATATTGCGACTGGCAGTACAATAAGAGTAAAGTACCGAAATATCAAAAACCTATTTATTTTCATAGTTTATAAAAACGCACATCCAGGTGTGACATTTAAGTCTTACACGAGATCGATTTTGGTGTTATAAGAACCACTGAATTCGTAACAGCAGCATTCGTTTCAAATAAATTCGTATACTGGGTATTAATATGATTAATTCTTCCAAGTTTTCTGTTAGAACTTGTCGCGACAAATTTATGTTAGTATCTGAGATATTGCAATGGCGATAAAAAAAGAATATCCCAATTTCCGTTTTCAGGATTTTTAGAATCTTAAGATTCGTATTTCCCATTTCTAGTTCAGGATTTTAAAGTTAATTAATTGAAGTGCATCCTGATGCGAAAATTGGACACGTACTTCGATTTTTAAAGAAAAGGGATATATACTCCTTTAGAATCGATACCGGAAATGAAGACTGACACTAATTCCAAAGTAATGCTGGGAGCGGAAGTTGATCCATGTTTGCAAAAGTCTACTTTTGGAAAATAAAAGGAACGCAGTCTCAGAAGATATCTTCTTGTTTTCACGTATAACTTGACCCTAATCCGGTCACTCGATGCTCATAAACCAAAGCCTTTTTCTCATGCGACTGGTAATCTGTTTATCCTCAATAGTGTTTGGATCGTGTTGCCAAAGAGCCGCGAGGAAAGTAAGAAAAAATAAAAGATTAGTATCTTTGAGCAAAACTGCTGAAAACAAGTCATCAAGAGTTGGTTTCCAAAGCGAATGCGTTATAAATAGGGTATTAAAGCAGGGCAATTTCTACTGCAATAGAGAATTCGATTGTATAAACGTGTAAATAAAGAATGCGTAACAATTAATAACTTAGAATGAAAATCATGTAATATTTTCAGAATTCTCACCTAATTCTTATTACGCATAGAGGAAACATTTAGTATGTATTTACTGTTGTAAGAATATGTAAAATAATTTTAAAATCATTAACTAAAATTAATGATATTCATGTGCGAAATTTTTATGCCATTATTATTATCATTCTAGTTCCAAATAGCATTATTTTGTGCATTTTATTGATTATAGATTTGAAGTAAACGTTGGTTTCTTGTAATTTTTCAATACTGTAAATACATTCTATTAACATTTTTTAGGAAAGTGTGTTCAAAAGCTATGTGTATTTTTTGACAGAACAATTTTATAAGTCATCCAGTTTTTACATATGTGTGTAATTGTTAAAAAGGAAAAGCCAACTTATGGCTTGTTTTTTAATTTTCAGAATGAATTTGACTGAATTCTCACTTTTTCGATCAATAATACATTTATTTAATCACTGAATGTAATATTTAATCTGCCAATTTTTTTTCTCATATAACTGGCCTAAAATTTGCGAGCTAATTAAAAATAAACTTCAGTGAACAAAATCTTTTTTTAAAATGATTAACCTTTTGGAAGTTGGATACGTGAATAATGCTTTCACTTTTTATCCTGAATACAGGCATGGAACGTTATTATCAAAGTCGATAGAAACTGGGTTTTGAACTGCGATCAGTTTCGCAGGAAGAAAGAATAATATTCCACCTCCCTCCCCCTTTTAACACATTTAGGAATTATATAACAGTGGTTAAAATTTAATTGTTAACAAAATTATATTTGCATCAGAAAATTCATTTAAGTTATGCTGTGTAAACTGGTATCCTGTGAATAAACCTGAGTTTAAATTATACTTATCTAACATTATACTCGTAATGTCTGCTTAACCTTCTCAGATAATTTGGATCTTCTTCATAGATTGACTTCATAGTTCCTAATCTACACTTCATCAACATCCAAGAGACAAGAAATCAACTGAAAATTTATGTGGTATTATTTGTCTTTATAAACTAAAATCAACGTTAAGAGAACTTTTCATCGCTCCTTGTAGAACCCGAAACATTTAAGTTACAAACAATTAAAATTACCCTTATCATTTACCGCCTCCATTGAAAATCTTTTTTTGCTAATTGTTAAGCTAAAACAAACAAATTATTTAACTAACTGTTAAACCGGAGATCACCTCACCACGATAGGTTCAAAGTATTAATAAAAGTGTGAAGAAATGAATTATCGATATTCGAATTTTTTTCTAGAGTTGTGAAATTTGAGGATTCGAGTGTCTCATCATTAAATCAGAACTTGAAAATTAATTAATTCAAATGCATCCTAAGGCTGAAAATATAAACATTTTTTCGTTTATGTCTGAAGAAAAAGAATAGGTTCGCCTTCACAATCGGTGCTGGAAATGAAGACTGGCATTTTGCTCATTACATGCAGCTTGCACTTTTCCATTTAACTCATTGGCATTTTAACAAAAGTTAACAAAAATGTAGAAAGTACAAAACATATGGCATAAAACAACTTGTTAATAACAATAAAAGCTGTTCAGCTTAACGAAAGTTTAATCTGTGTAAGTAGATTCAGTTTCTGGAAAAAAAAAATATAATATTCCTCCAATAAATATTTTATTATGAAATTGAAAGACATTTCTGAAAATTTGATTCAATGCCAAAACTTATTGTTTTTCTTTTACAGGATCTTCCGATTTGGCAACAGTACTAAGTGTTGCTGTTCCAAATGCATCTCTCTACGTACCTCCAGCACCTAGAAAAGAAAGTAAGTTTAGAATTTATGTATCAAAATTGCCGCATGTCATGCATGTGAATGAAATTATAATGACAGAAATAAAACGTAACTGATACTTAATGAAAAATTATTAATAGAAATTTGTACAAAAGCGTTAGTTAGTATAAATTACAATGTTTGGAAGTTGATTATTCTCAAAATATTGAAATTAAAACAAATTTGTGGAAATTAGTAAATGATGGAAAAATTTAATCATCTCCTATGGAAAACATTTTTCTTTAATATGGTGTATGGTTAGCTCAGGCAGATATGCATACCTCATTGTGCATTTCAGCAAAGTGTTAATCAAATCTTGTGCAGTTGCACGCAAATCTTTTGCCTTTTTCAGCTCCTGGCGGGTCCAGGGGGAATATGGTGCCCTGAAATTTGGCCCTCTAAAGCATTCTACATGTGCTCAATCGGGCTCAAGTCGGAAGATTAAGGCGGCTAACCCATTCGAGGGATATCTTCTTCTTGAAATTATTCTGACACCACATATACTCGTTGAGGCCAAACATTGTCATCCATTAGCAAACACTCTGGGCCAAAAGCACCCCTAAACAGTCTAACTTAGGGTTCCAATACCTCGTCTATGTACCTTCAAAAAGTTACAGAACCTCCTTGAAAGATATGGAACTCACTGCGGCCATATACCATGATTTTTTCTCCACAAATCATTAAACCGAAATCGCGAAAATGTCATATTTCATGAATAAGAAAAACCTCCAATTGCATTTTTCTTCTTCTCTCAAGATCAAAACACGTTTAGAATCACTGTTCAGACTATATCTGGGCTCATCATTAAACAATCCTCGGGTCCAGTCATTTGGTTAGCTTCATTTAACACGACGACGTCACCAGTTTAAACAGGCCTCTCTGGAAGTTGCAGTGAGTGGGAGACAAATTATTGGTTTTTCTCACATATAGTCCAACCTTGTTAAGCCTTCGCGCGGCAGTAGAACGGCTAGTTCGAGTTCCTGTGGCAGGATGAAGGTCTAAAACCAAATTTCTTGTAGTCGCTTAGCGGTTTCTTCGAGCCGACAACGATAGAAAACAGTCTATTGATTCAGTTGTTGCTCTTGATAGCTCTTCACTAGGCTGTCTGTCAACTAATCCCGTGCTCAAAAAGCAGTTTCAAAGTCTTGGTATGTCACCTTGAGGGATATTTAAGACTTGGACGACCTCCATTTGTGTTCGAACGCCCTCGATTCTACCAATTATTCGCCATTTTTGATCTTCACTTAGCTTATGCCTTTGGACAACAAATACTGAATACTTATCACCCTCAGAAACCGCATTCATTTAAACAACACTACAGACCGGAACTCTAACATGCATCTATTACACACAATTTTGTCAGTCACCTAATTTGCATATTTTCGGCGCTAACGTATGGGTTGCAGTTTGTGTTCAGTTGTATTTAATTAACATAAATAATTACAGCATTGGAAATTGATTGCATTATTAAATTAATGAACATTTTTCTCATTTTTCTTTAATTTTGACGACCAGAGTAAGACGGTGACAGGGGTACTAAAACTTTCTCGCACGAATTCGTTTTGAGATGCAAACTTTATTTTACCTAATGCAAGAAAGAAAGGTGTATTCGTGAACTCATAGAGAGAGAAACCGCTATTCAATAAAGCGAAGGGTTCAGTAGAGCAATTAGTATAACTCGAGTCGCAAGCGGATTTCATCGTGTACTACTTAAAACGTGTTTCAACTCCAGAACCTTTTAATACGTGAAAAGCATCCGATCATATGCTTCATCCAATCAACATTCGTAGGAGAATATTTGCCATATATGAAGAAAATTGTGTTTCACAGAAAATTGTCGATAAGTAAAATGTTAGTTCCGTTTAGCATTGTGAAAAATCTATCAGACAGTGACAAAAAAACATAAGTTGTTTGTCACTGTCTGATAGATTTTTATAACATAACATTGCAGCTGATTACATGAAAGTATACCTTGCAGTTGAGATACTAGTTTCAGGCAGCGTACTTGCGAACTACAACTGTCATCCCAACCTGTGCTATGTATAGTGCTATGGTTGTTTCTCATTGTGTGAAATCAAGAGATTTTATCTCTCCCTAACGTATGCTAAACTTAAAGCTGCATATTGAAATTAATGAATACTCCATAGCTTCGTTGGGGAAATTTTAAGAGCACGGATTCCTAACACTTTTCTTGTCCGGCATCCCTAAAACCTGTTTAATATGTTCTCCCATCCTTTAAATCTGTTCCTCGAAGCCCCTAAAATTTACTTTTCAGAGGGTTGTTCGCCAATCAGATCGAAATCTTTCAGCTTTGAATGGTTCAACGTCATGGCCTGCAAAATATGCACCACCAATGCCGGTTGTTGAAATGTTCTAGCAGTTGAGATGGGTTAAGATTTGAATTTGAAGAGACAGCACCACAACGTACGTAATGGGATTTTTACACATCATCGCTTTTTTTCTGAGCAAGTGAAAACAAACTTACGTAATCGTTATTTTATTTTATTTTATTTAATGTCATGAACGTTAAGAGTAATTTAAGAATTATAACTAAAAGCATGGATAAAGTTGATTAGAAGAAAAATAACAATAGGTAAGGACTATAACATATCACTAATAGATATTCTTATCATTGAATTGCTGAATAATCTGCAATTTTTAGGATCTCACAGATCCCATCATTCTTTACAATTATATTCTAATTGCGTTGAAACCTTTTTCATGAAGTAGGTGTTTTTCTTCAGATATTTACGTAATCATGTTTACTTCCGTCATAACAGCAGGTTTGTCGTTAAATAAAACATTTCTTGAATCAAAAGGATTTACAAATTATATAAATCTTGATATTTAATTTTAGAAAAAATGAACCTTAATAATTAATTGTAAGTTAAATAACAAATAATCATTTGCTTCTATTTATTGCCAATACTTTTTATTTTAGACTGCAAGATCCATCAGCTTGGTAAACCCGTATTTCAGCGATCATCAAAAGAAGAAATTGGTGCTTGGTTTCAAGATCCTCTTCCTCCTGAAGGTAGCGAAAATAAGTATTATGCAATTAATAGCTCGGAGCCTATGTATGTGTACGAATATGCGAACCGGGAAGACTTCCGTAACCACAACTACAGCAACCGCTATGACCCGCCATTTGGTTTTGTTGGTACTGGTCATCTTGTTTACAACGGATCTTTTTATTATCAGCAACCCAAAGCTTCAACAATTCTCCGATATGAGATGCCGAGGGCGCAACATTCTGGAAAAGATTATGACGATATGGTGCACTCGGGTACCGCGTACTTATATTCGACCAAATTGGGCTACATAGATTTAATGGCTGACGAAAATGGAATGTGGGTAGTGTATTCTGCTCGTGAAACGAATAATACATTGGTGCGAAAATTAGACCCTTACACTCTGAATACTGAATACATTTGGAATCTTACTTTTCCTCACCAAAACGTGGGTGAGATGTTCATTGCATGCGGAGTTCTGTATGGGGTAACATCGGTGACAGAGCCTACTACTAATATCAAATTTGCTTTCGATTTGTACCAGAATAAGGTTCTCGAAGCAAATATAGCCTTCTCGAACCCATTCCGCAATAACAGTATGATAGCCTACAATCCTAGGTATCGTAAGATCTATACTTGGGACAAAGGCAACCAACTGCTTTATCCTATCCTTTTTCGCACGATCGATCTTGGCCAACCTGAAGAGAAAGATGAACCGAGAAAAAAGAAGTGACTGTTGTATGTGAATTTGTTTAATAAACTTTTATGTATGATTCTTTTTCTAAACTCGTTCTCCTTCATTTTATTTAAAATTTTAAACATTTTGCATTTATACATGTGTATCTACTTATTTCATGACTACATGACATAGCAATCCTTGTGTGCTGATGAAGGTATGACATAACAATCATCTTGTGTTAATGGTCACAAAATGGCAGTGCTTTAAAAGTTAAGTTAATACAAATGCTACTTCAATATACCAGCGGTTGCAAAGCAATATTAAGCGCATATCATTCCTACAACAGAGTGCAATTAAATTCTGACCCGGTTTTCATCACATTTTTGAAACTTAAAAAAGAAAGTTTTCTCTTTCTTTTTTTAATGTGATAAACATTTATTTTGATATGCATGTCAAACAGCAATATACAGATATTGCAAGCTTTGATGAATTATGTATAGGTAAAACCTAATGTTTAATATTAATCTTTAAATACAATTAAAAGACAGATAAAAAACGAACTTCAATTTTAAGTCGAGTTATTTGATTTTATACTTCCTTTTATCAATATAAAAGAACATGACCAGAAATGTGTATATTAATATATTATTTAAACAGTACATTGCCATATGAATAACAAAGACTTTAGAACAGAATTTTTCATTGAATTTCTTTAGTGTCAAACCATAACCACTGACAAAAATAACTTACACATCTTAACTGCCGTGTTTTAAAGTGTTATTTGTTCACGGAAAAGAAATTATGGAAATTTTCTTTTTTGATTTTATTCAGTTGATATCTTTTGCTGTGTATTGAAAGACTAAATAGTAGCTCATTCTTTTCGCAAAAATGCAATTATCATTAAGCAGTGTTTTGCAAGGAAAAACATATAACTGATTTTAATCACATCCTTTACCTAGCTAGGTTTGATATCTGCAAACTGCCATTTTCTATTCTGAAAACTGAAGTTAATTGAAGAGCACCCATTTTAGAATAGGTCAGATATTGAAGAAAAATGTGAGGAGTAATTTAAACAACATTGTTGTGAACACATCCAGAAGCTTTATAAATGTACATGATACACTGCGCAGAAAAATGGGACAATTCTATGTCTCCCGTTCGACTGAGCCGATTGACGAAATTCAACTTAAGTTTTTCTTGTCTCGAAAGCACGACTTAGAATATAAATTAGATTTATCGATTTAGGATTAAATTAGGTTTATTTTTTATATCAATCATTCTAATGTAGGTAGTTTGACACAAAATCGGACTTTTTCTGAAATGACATGTTATTTTTTTCCATATTTCGATTCTACGAGTCAAATTATTTCAAATTGCCAAGTTTTGTGAAACTTTTTGAATTTTTGAAATTTTTGAGTAATTTTTAAAAAATTAACTCTCAAAATTTTAGCTCCTCAGTGTTAATTCAGTTTGGTATGTATGTATTAATGTTCCCTTTTTTATTACACTTATTTGATTCCTTCTTTCACAGATCGAAATTTAAGTTCATTCCAAATAAAATTCACCCATTTTTTATAATTTATTTTTAAAATTTGTATTTTTAAATAATTTTTATAAACTTTTCGAAACAGCTTTTGTTTTATAACCTGCAAAGTTTTAACATCATCTGAAAGTAGATGTATTTCCTGCAAAACATTAGAGTTTTTTATTCAAAATTTTCTAAGATGTACATGAATTTACATATTGCAGTGTTTTGAAATTTCGCATCTTTTTTTTTTTTTTTTTTTTGAGCAATAATAATGCTAAACGAGAATACGTTGTTAAAATTATTTGAAAATATGAAGAATGACCTTTTTTTTCCCGCACGTTTACAATAAAAAAAAGAAAATGAAAATGGGTTGATATAAATTAAGAAGTTCGCTAATTAAACTATTCTTGGCTAAAACTGGAAAAAATACGCCAAATAAATTTTTGAATTCCTCCGGAAATTTCGCACCAAATTTTACAAAATTTAATATTTAGGTATAATTTGAGTCGTAGAATCGAAATATGGAAAACATATTGGCATGTCATTTCAGAAAAATCCCGATTTTGTGTCAAAATACCTATGTGAGAAAGATGCTGTATATAAATGTATTATATATCTTAAGTCGCGTTTTAGAGACTTGAAAAGACTTGAATTTCGTCAATCTGCCCAGTAGAACGGAAGATATAGAAATGTCCCATTTTCTTTTTTGCGTAGTGTACATCATAAGAAATATTGAAGAATAAACAATTAATAAATAGCTTTCCTTGAAACCTCGTTTTTTATAAATTCAGTTTTTTTTTTAAAATACGCGTGTATATATGGTTTGGCGCATTTTGTACATATCAAATTTAAATAACACCAGAAAGAAAAGGAGTACTAGCAGTAATTTTATGTTGTTTTGAAATCTTACTTTTCCTCCCCAAAACGTGGGTAACACTATACACAGGGCATTTAAATACATGATGCGAATAATATAGATATCACGGCACATTTAAACTAACATTCTTTAAATGTCCTCCTACTGCTTGTATGCAGTAGTATATATGTTCGAAGCAATGTAGAGGGACTTCTGTGACGTTTCTCAACCATGGAGGTGAGAAAGATACACTGCTTTATTGCTGATGGCAGATTTCAATTCGTCAGTATTCCGCAAATAATTTCCAGACTTTAGGTTGGTTTTTTCTTATGTGCAATATGGAGCCAGTTTCCCTTAGAAGGTCCTTCGCGAAGGACTTTATCTCTCTCCTTAGGTCTCTCTCCTTTGCTTTCGTTTTCTTTGCCGTAATCAAGTGAACCAAACCAAAGCTCTCTTTCAGGTAATCTCCGAAGAAATAAGTCCGGAACTGTTAACTCGTCGAAATGGGTTAGCCAAAGTCAAATCGGCAAAGCGAGAACTCGGATTTCGAAATGTCTGTCACAATATAACCGTAATTTTCTGGCCGTTACACCATCCTTTTGGAAACAAATTTTATATACATCAACTGTCTTACCTATAATTCCGACTATTTTCCTTATTTCGAAAAACACCCGCTCAGCGTCTGCTTCATAGCCTGTACAAATATTGGCTTTTAGCTCCAAACCTCTCAGCTGTGGAGTAAGAATCTATGGTATACTAATTACTTGATTCGCAGCTTTTCATCTATGAATGGTTTCGTTTATTTGATTATATCAAAACATTCGATGACTGCCTTCGTGCAGGACTTTCCAAGGGAAACAGGCTTGTATACACGTCATACATGAGGTAAACCCCGAAAGCGCCTGTGCAGCCAGCCTGTTCACCATGATTCGAACCCCGAGCCGCCGAACTACCGGTATTCAGCGACTTTACCGCAGTGCCGCTAGTATGCGCTTTTTGCAAATGAAGCGACGCCACACAGTGCATTGACGCATTCTAGTAGAGATGCCAACTCATATTGGTAGATACAAGTATTTTGCTACAGAATCTCATCTTAATTATTTGGTCTTATATTTGACACATATTAGATTACATAGTAAGTAGAATTATAAATTTTGCATTCAGAATGCATATTAGGCGAAGTTAACTATTTATTTTATTACCTGCATTACTAGTAAAAAATCAGCACCATTAGTTTAAAAAAATTGACTAAGAATTACAGTTTTCTTTTAAGTGATACTCTTTGCTATGCTGATGGGTAATACTCTTATAAAATAAATTTAAGATCGTATAATTCTTCGAATGGTAACTACTTCTGATCGAACGCAATGCTTTTGCCCTTCTGAAATCAGCGGACTGAAAAATAATTCTTGTTTTAAGGATTTTAAAAAAGCTATATATTTGCTTCCGTTTTAAAAAAGCTGTTTTCTATAAAATAATTTCTGGATATATTTAAACAAAGGCTACATTTCCGAAGTTCTTTATATGTTCAAATCGCTTGAAAACAAAGAAATGCTTTCGAAATTCCTTTGAAGTTTCCATCAATCTTTTTTTGTGGAATAATGAGTTGATGTAAAATAAGTCGTTTGATATCAGTCACGCTGATATTAATGACATGAATAATAATATGAAAGATGAAACACCTGCATTTTTCTCACGAAATTTTGATTCAACTATCAGGGTGATTTTTGGTAATATTTTAAATAACCATACTTTTGATATCATCTCATCAATGTCTTCATCATTACTTAAATAACCATAAATAATTTCTCATTTTAAAGATTTCAGCTTCTTTGATGAAACTAATTTCATTGCAATCTGAGCTGTTTTCAATACCTGGAGTCTCAAACTAACGTCACCAAAACAATTTTATGCGGCCCAAAAAATATTTCGTGTAAATTAATTAACATTATTATAACAAGAATTTGGAAACAAAATTAAGATTTTAATGGTTTTGGATCCAATTTTGCATGATTTTCATCACCAAAAATGAACGTGAGTAACTGTCTGGTAATCTAGAAATGCAACTAATTAATTTACACTGTGATATAAATCTTATCCAGAGATTTCAATATAAAAATGTGATTAACTTTTACTGGTACTTGTCAAATGATCAATATTCTCAATTACGAATTTTTGCAATAAGAATAATCTCTTTTATTTGGGCTTACATTTATATTTGAATAGTTTCCTTTTCGTACATGAAAATTAATAAATCTACGAAATGAACCAGACTGTTTATAAGTAGTTACAATTTGTGATGAAGATAAGATAATTTCTAGAATATTGCCTCCAAAATTATAAACGTTACGAAAATCGAGTGCTTGTAGCTGAAAGTTTTAAAAAGAAACAAAGATGTTTATAATTATTTAAATACAAACATTATTGTTCCTCTGTATTTCATAGAAAATCTAGTAAATAAAACAAAGATAATAGATTTAATTTCCTCTTGAGATGTTTTCGTGTATTTTCTTACACTTTTAATTCAAAGTAAGTTACTTAGTGGTTACTTCAATATATTACAATTATTTGAATAAATGACAATCTGAAAATCGTAATATCTAACTGCCAATGCATTTAAATTACAAATAAGTGTAAATTTAAATGTTTAGTCCAAAAGGCAATTTTTCTTGAAGGACTACAATTTTCGTTTTGGCAGTTTGTGTTGGCTCACTTTAAATGTC